CTCCAAGAGAGTGTCAGGCTGCAAGAGCGAAGTAGGGCCCCGGGAGAAGAGCTGCTCCTTCCGCTGCACTGCTTTTCACATGTTGGAGATGAAGTCGCGGGGCGTGCACAGCATCTTCATCGTATTTTCTGATGTACCTGGCACAAATGCCTAAGACAGCTACAAGTAATTGCTCTCCAAGCTCCAGTGAACTAGAACATCTTCATTTAAATCATGCATCGCCTGGAATTCTTTTTTTTAAAGGAGAGCAAGATGACTTTATGTGGAGTTGCTAGGCAGCCAGGCGCTCGGGGAGCTCAGCCGTACGTGCAGCTTTGCAGAATCTCAGCAGGAAGGCACAGTGTCCTCTTCAAAAAGCTCTCCTTACGCAACACTCGCAAGCTTCCACCACATCCAAAAATGTAAGCTCCTCTTGTTTTTAACTACCCACCATTCCCGCACCCCGTTAACCGGAGATAAACCAGAAGATGATTTGTGTTACCAGCTCCCCTGCCCCACTGAGGGGCTTGATGCAGCCCAATCTTTGGGCAGAACTCGGTCAAAGTACGGGAAGAAATGACCTTTTAAAGCGTTTCGCTTCTTGCCTTACATGAACATGGAGAAATTTTGGAAAATGCAGAGAAGCATGAAGCAATTAATAAAAAAAGAAAAATATGATAATCCCACAACTCAGAAAAGTCAATGGTAATTATGGTGATGTTTCCTTCTATAAAGATATGTGACAAAACTGGCATCACTAAATACTCGGGATTTAACACAATGCCTAAAAAAAATAGTTGGCGCTTGTACCCAACAAATGATTTTAAGGAGTGGTTTTATGTCAGTTTTTTCAATGAAGATTATATATAGGAGTATTTTCACAGTATTAAAGATCTTTCATGTTTGGTTAATATTTTGTCATATATATGTATTATAAATAATCTACTTTCATCTTGTCTACTCTTATTAGGCATTTAATTTTTTCCTAAATTTTAGCTAGTTTAAACAATGCTGTTATGAAAAGCCTTTACATAATTCTTTGCCCACTTTTTAAATTTCTTTAGAACAGATTCCTAAAAGTAGAGTTATTTGACCAAAAGGCATGGATTCTATTTAATTTCTTAGTAGTTAATCATCAAGATGCTTTCAAAGACACTGGTAATAACTTATATTTCCATCACAGGTTATGATCATTCCTGTCTCACTACACTTTAATTAGCATATTAATTAGTATATTGCCATTTTTTATCTGTCAATTTCATTGATATTTTATTTTATAAAGATATAATTTGCGGTTGGAAATCGATACCTTATTTTGACTTGATATTAAATATTTTTTTACATTTTGTGGCCATTTACATTGATTTCTTTGTGAATGGTGAATTAATAGCCTTTGTGGACTCTTTCCCTCCTAGGAAGGGGACCACGGAGAGGCATGGACACCAGGAGGCAGGGGTTACAGGGCCATCTTCAAGCCTGTCTGTCACAATCAGCTCAAAGTCAGCTTGAGATTTACTTGAGGCTTTAGGAGTCCTTGAGTAGTCTAGCTCAAGGGATAAATGTACTGACATCTAAAAAGCCAAGAGGAAGGATTTCTTTTTAGAGCCTTGTCACGTGTTTGGTGCTCCTCATTCCACCACCCTTACAGACGGAGCGGGGACAGAAAGGGATTTTTCACCTTCCACCAAGTGAGAGTGAGAGCTCCAGGCACAGCACTCCGAGAACTTGACACGTGTCCCCTGGCTTTTGGGGAGCACAGGTTCTGAGAAATGAATCCCACCAATCATATGGGGGCCACAGGGAGGTGTCCTGGCTCCTGCCTGAGACAACCGCTTGGAGAGGCGATGGAAGGGGTCGAAAGGGTGGCCACCAGATACCCAGGGGCTGAGAAAGAATTAGAAGTGGCTTGCAGAGGAAAACCATGGTGTGTGCTAAGAACCTCCCATCTGAGAGCTCCCCATGAAAGAGACAATCAGCATTGGAGACGGAGAATCAGCATAGCTGGCTGGTAATCATCCCTGCAGCCAGCAAGACTAGTCCTGACTTGATCTCTCCTCCATCGCCCTCTTTAACTCCAGCAGAGCCAGAGCACGGGGTAAATCAAGGAGTAGAGGAGCAAGATCCCTAAACAGCCAGGAAGCCTATGGCTTTCCTCTGTTCTACTACTGTAACTCTCTGGGCCTGGTTGAGAGAGAAGAGAGGATACAGTTTTAAGTGAACACTACATTGGACAGTGTAATCGCTAAAGGAGAGTGCTCTTACCATTAAAGTAACCAAAATGCATTTTTAAAAATCCAAAAGTAACTAGAAACTTCTAAAACCTTCCCATGTTTTCATCCAAGGGATGGAAAAGAAACAGTCCTCAAGGCCAGGGGTCAAAGGTCAACAGTGGGGAAGAATAAGGTTATTTTCGGCCTGTGCTCTATCAAGTTGAACTTGGTCAAATATGTGGCAAAAGGAGGACCCCAGGCATTTCTCTCCCTTTTAAAAAACAAGTCTGTAGCTATTCTAATCTGTTTCTTTTTCTAGACTAAATTTCTTAGAAAATTCCTAATTAGGGTTTTTATTAGAGTAGGCCAGGACTTTTAATTTAGAGAATTTACTTCTCCACAATATACATGTTGCCATCTGGAATACTGTATCTCTCCTTTTATTCAATTATTTTTGGAACCCAGTAAAATCTAATATTAGTCATCCTCATTACATCCTACACAATTATTATTGGCTTTAATCCTGTGAATTTTATGGCTTGTTTTTATTGACGTTTCTGTTGTTGCTACTACTGATGCAGTGTTTTTCTCTCATATCTTAAAACTGACAATTGAGTTTTAAATTAAATATAGCAATTTGTACATTTAAATTGTGACCAACCACTTTACTAAATTTTCATTAATTTTAAGAACTCTTTAGTTGATTATTTTGTACTTCATGGGTGTGTAGTTAAACTGTCTGCAAATAATGGTAGATATGTCTTCCCACATTATAGCTTTTGTTTCTGCTTTGCATTTTACTGCATTGTCAAAAAAATAGAAAAACGTTATCAATGGTGATATGGATCAGATAGGTCTTGTTCTTTATTTTAACTGGAATTTTTTCTAGTGTTTTAACCTTGAGAATGATGTCGGCTATTGTCTTTAGAAAGACTTCCTTTGTGTGTTAAGGAAGTAAAATGTTATTCCCAGTTTTATAAAAATTAGGTCAAGAATGGCTATCTAACCTTTTTTGTCAAAGGCCTTCAGTTAAAGTTATTTAAAGGCCTCCAGGGAAAGACCTTTTAATACCCAAAATAGCAACTCTTGCCAGCGTTTTAAACACTCTGGTTTATGCATAATTTAAACTTTATATTATAAATTCAGTCTATATGCTTCTGTTTTGCCTGAAATAAAGATACAAAACATTGTCGGCTTTTATAGATTTTTAAGGCCCATGTAGAACTAATAAATTGACCAACAGGACTCCTAATCACTGGAGTTGTATATACATTCACTTTTCAGAAAAGGAGAAATGATAGATTTTTTAAAATTCCATAGTCATATTAATAGCGGCTAACATTTTCAGCTCTTGTGGGCATTTATGAAAGAATATGGTACCAAGAGGAGCCCATGGATGTTCGCTGAGAATAACACGTATCAAATTAGCCAACTTACTTTTTTATAAAGTTCTAAAATGAGAAATACTTGTTAGACAGAGTGAAATCTGGTTTTCATAAATTCATTTACTTAGTAAAGCCTCTCTTGATGTTCTTCTTGGTAAAATGGAAAAATACGGATTGTAGTATAGCTTTGCAGCTATTTGAAATTGGAGTCTAAATAGTGGTTCTGTGCTCCTAAGAGGAATTATCAGGAGATTCTCTTAATCCTTCCCTTTCAATATTTTTGTCAGTTATTGGGATGAAGGTATAGGAGGTGAAGCGTGCCAAACTCCAAAATGTCACAAAGCTGCAGAAGAGAAGAAATCAAATGGCCAAAAACAAATAAATAAATGAATAACTTACATGATCTTAATAACCTGAAACATAAGGTGGAAATCTAAAGAAAAAACAAATCTTAGAAAAATGAGTATGCGCAAGTGACCAGCAGATGAGTATCATACAAGAACTGGAGGTTGAAACGACTGACTTGCTTGTTTACACCAACAACATCAACAGCAAACATTTTTTTTTTAAAGATTTATTTATTTGAGAGAGAGAGCATGAGGCAGACAGAGGGAGAGGGAGAGAGAGAATCTCACCAGCAGACTCTGCACTGAGCAGGGAACCCAACGAGGGGTGGGATCGCGGGACCCTGAGCCGAAACCAAGAGTTGGACGCTGGACCCACTGCGGCACTCAGGCGTCCCTCAACAGCAAACATTTCTGAGTGCCTTCAAATGAGGCTTCTGGTCAACATGGAGTGGCTTGATGTGGTCCTGGGCTGGCTCCCAGGAAGCAGACGGTGGAGTTTAGACACCAGGATGGGTATCAGGAGTGCCCTTGGAATCAACACCTGTGGAAGGTCAGGGAAGGAAGCAGGAGCAGGCAAGGGAAAAGCCGAACTGATAAAGGCCCAGTAACTGCCTTGGCCAAGCTCCTGAGGAGTGTCAGAACCAGAACGGCTCTGCAGAAGTGTCCCAAGTTGGCGCAAGATGGCCCAGCTCCTGTACTCCCACATTAATCAACCCTTGGATGTGGGCCGCCGGGGGGAAGGGGCACGACCTTGGACGAGGCGGCTCTCTGCAGCTGAGGCAAACCCTGAAGGGGCTGACAGCTGAAGACTATCTACAGACAGCGCTGCCAGCAGCTGGGTCAACAAATCCTTCGGGGAAGGGGTTTCTGGGCCATGAATCACAGTGTCCACCACAGTGGGAAACCCCAGGGCCTGCTCCAAGCCCGTAAGAAATACTGGGGAGAATGTATTTTTTTTTTTTTTATGCTTTTAATACATGGTGAAACATAAAAAAGCAAGGAAGGGTGCCAAAAGTGAAGAAGGAACTGACAGGCAAATCCTAAGAACCAGATACATGCCTTAGGGGGACATGGTTTTAAGCTCACCAAGGAGGAAATTAGAGCGTTAGTCTCTATTCCCAGTCATCTACCAGAAAGGAGAACTGCCAGCTCATCTCTTGTGTGTGTGGTCCAAATCTGTACTATCCTCAAGGTGAAAGAACCCTAAAAGGATATATTAACGTAAAAATTAATCTAAAAATGGTCTGTGCATAAATTAAAAACACCCCGTGGATGTCCCCACCCTCAGCATACCTGAGGATCCAGTGGTAAACAGCACCAGCCAGAGGATGAGCTCGCATGCACAATGAAGGCCATACAGGTAAAAACCTTCAAATGCCAGGATCTACAAACTTAGAGCATTCTGAAAGAGACTTCAAGATACATATGCTTAAAAAAAAAAAAAAAAAAAATCCAAAAAGCAGATCAACTGGAGAAAATAACAAATAGAAATTCTAGAAATTGTGAGTACAGACATTGAATTTTTTTTTAAAGTTCAACTGATGACCCACTCACCACACCGTTAAAGAGAAAAAGGAATAAATTGGAAAACTGATATGTACAGATCACCTGGAATGCAGCGCAGAAGGATAAGAAATGGAAAAATATGCAACTGTCTACTCTGTTCAATTATTAAATAACTAGTATGTGCCAGGTGTTGTGCTGGACATGGGGAATACCATAGTGAACCAGAAAGAGTCAGAGTGACTCAGGAGATTTATGTTGGTGTCACCAAAACATGCTCTACACTTTTCTAATCTATGACCCTTACAAAATAAAGTGAAGAAAGTAAATGATAAATAGCAAGAAAAGCTATCTGGTAATGTGGTCTGGGGCTCTGGCAAGCTAATGAGGAAGCCTTTGTCCCTCTCTCCTTTTTTACTGGTTAACCAGATCTGCAACAATGTGCTCCTTTCTGTACCCCGCAGTTTAAAGCTGGATGTGATAAATTACGGAGAGTCCAGACTCAGGAGACAAAAATATTGAGCAGCCTAGAACATACATCATCTAAGAAAAAGTTGAAGCGTTCTTAGCCCGGAAGAAGAGCATACTTAGGTGCAAAACCTTCCACGACGTTCCAACCCCAAAGCGTGATTCAGTTTAAGGCTTCCGTGGCAGAAAGGAACCATTTACCGCTTTCTTTCCTCCAGTTCACAGCTGAACTCCAGCCCCAGCCTTTCCTGCGGGTTGGTGAGGCCACGTGACCAAGCTCTGGCCAGTAGCCTGGAACTAGGAGCACACGCGCTGCTTCTGAGCCTGGACCGGAGAAGCCTCGCGCCTGCCTGTGCCCTCTCTCACTGTCTGTGGACGAGGTGCAGAGCACTGGGGCCTCGGAAACCAAGTTCAAGGTCGGAAAGCCACAGTATGGGAGGAGCCGTGGTCCCCGAGTAACTGCATGCAGGAAAGCTTCCCCCGATTAGGCATGTTTGTTTCCAGCCTGACGTGATTAAGAAATGCACTCTTAGGGGCCCCTGGGTGGCTCAGTCGGTTAAGCGTCTGCCTTCGGCTCAGGTCATGATCCCAGGGTCCTGGGATCGAGCCCCGCATCGGGCTCCCTGCTCCTTGGGAGCCTGCTTCTCCCTCTCCCACTCCCCCTGCTTGTGTTCCCTCTCTTGCTGTGTCTCTCTCTGTCAGATAAATAAATAAAATCTTAAAAAAAAAAAAAGAAAGAAAGAAATGCACTCTTAGCCTACTTGAGCATTAGGCATTTTGCTTTTATTTATTTTTTCTAATACTAGCTCACATTACCTTAACTAATACAGTTTCTTTAAATAGAATTCGCATCCAATTTTCACTCCCAATTCCTGCCTGATTCGTTCTAATGGAATTCTATTTATGGCAGTTCTGTGTCCCCTAGGGAAGCACTCTTGCAGGGAGAGAGCTTTGCCCCAGCCTTGAATTCTTTTTGTCGCAGAGCTTGGTGTATCATCTTGTCACCGCTCCAGATTCTCTCAAGAAGAGGGAAGTTTTTACTTACTCTTCTCCTCCAGAAATTAACTCAGACGTCTGCTCCTCAACCAAACCGAGTGACTTGAACCCTGGGACTCTTTCATGTTCATGTGCATATCCATAAGCCCTATCACAATGCTAGGCATGTGGCAAGTAATTGTCGATTAAATCAATAATCAAACAGTAGAGGAGCATCACAGATGTGAAGCTATGCCTGTGATCTCTGGTTCTTCATGAGAAAACGAAACAGAATTATCTAACAAAAAGAACACAGAGAGCTATGTCTGCAAACCTATATAAAACTGTATCAGTGCAGATTACACACATCTATGTGTATGTTTGTATACAGAAGGAAACAGGTTGATTTCAAATCAGTTATTTCTGTGTATAAAACCAACAGCCTCTTTTTTTTGTTGTTCTTTTTACACGATCAAGGAAACCTGAATGTGTAGCTATTTTTAAAATACACTCAAGGCTCCCCCAAGCAAATGGTCTCCCACTAAATTAGTAAATGAGTAATGGTAATGAGATTACTCTGAGAATAGCACATGTCAGAAAACTGTACTGCTCACGAACACGAAACCAGCAACCAAGCCTTTTAGGAAATCTTACTCTGCTATTGCACAAGCACATCTATTCAGCCCAAGGCCAAATATCTAATAGATCCCTGATTTTTATGAACAGAAGTAAAAATTTAGACAATGCTTAAAGGCAAAGCCTTCCTACCTTTCTCTGGGATCTGTGCTGGGAATAGAAATAAGAGAATGAGAAGAAATATGGTGTGTCCCTTGTTGTTTTGAGAGACAAAGAGAAAAAGGCAGTGCTTGCTAAGTAAAAAGGGTCTAATTATGGTGTCAGTCAGTGCTGTAGAAATCTAAACCCACTCCTCTTTGGGCCTCCTGCCTCTGTCCTCCTATATCCTCCTGAACTCCCGTGTCTCCTTCTCCTTACGGAAGATTTGTGAGGACAGGAGTCATTGTTTACCACACATTTGATCCCAGGGACCTGGTGCCATCTGAGGCTTTAGTAAATGTTTATCAAATAATCTTGGCTTTTCCTAAAAGCATTAAGCCAATTGTGATAAACTCCCCCGTGGTTAAGAGTAGACTTGCAAGAACAGAGCACAAAAATAATCAATAGCTACACACCCTCTCTTCTGACTAGAATGTCAATTCCACAAAAACAGGAAGCTGGTCTTACTCATGGCAGTAACCCCAACATGCACCCCCATAGGCATTTGTTGAGTAAATGCATGGCCTCACTCTTAATCCTTTGAGGAAATTCCACTCAGTAACATAGTTTTATCATGATGAATCCTTGACATTATCACTCCCCCAATTCACTTTGTTTGCTCAGAATTTGCCTGCTGGCTTCCTGCACTCGATTCACTCTCTATAGATGCTGTAACGATGACTGCAAATTGCACAACATAGAAGAACACTCTTCATTATCACATGGCTCCGTGGGTCCCATGTCCAGGTGGGCTCAGAGCCTCTGCTGAAATCACTGTGTCAGCCAGGCTGGAGGCTCTGGGGGAGAATCCACTTCAGGCTCATTCAGGTTGTTGGCAGAATCCAGTCCCACGTGGTAGTAAGACTGCGTCCTCATTTCCTTGCTGGTTGTTGACCGAGGATCACACTCAGCTTCTAAAGTCACCCACATTCCCTGGCTCATAAACCCTTTCATCTTCAGAGTCAACAATGACGAGTCCTTCTCACACCTCGAATTTCTTTGGGCTCCCCATCTGCCTCACATCTCCTGCCTTCTTCTTTTGTCACATCTTTGCCCTACTCTTCTGCTTCTAAGGGTTCATGTGGTTACAGTGGGCCTCTCATAATTGCCTGTCTTAATTCACGTGGGCTGCTATAGTAAAATCACCCTAGACTGAGAGGCCCAAGCAACAAATATTCATTTCTTACATTTTTGGATGCTGGAAAACTCAAGATCAAGGCCCCGGGAGATGCCGTGTCTAGGGTGGACTTGCTTCCTAGTTCACAGACAACAGTCTTCTTGCTGTGTCCCCACAGAGCAGAAAGGGGTCTCTTTCATACGGGCTCAGATACCATCATGAGGCTCCATTCTTGTGACCTCGTCACCTCCCAAAGGCCTCCCTCTAACACCATCACTCTGAGCAGTAGGATTTCAAAATGTGAATTTTGGGGAGCACAAACATTCAGTTCATAACACTCCCCATTTTAAGGTCAGGAACCTTAATAATTAGGAACCTTAATTCCATCTGCAAAATCCCTTCACAACAGTACTGAGATTAGTGTTTGAATAACTGTGTAATGGGAATTCGGGAGGACTTCTTTAGAACTCTATGACACTGGGAGTGAGCAAACAAAGAAAATGCAGGGGTGCCTGGCTGGCTCAGTCATTAGAACATGTGACTCTTTGATCTCAGGGATATGAGTTCGAGCCCCATGTTGGACGTAGAGATTACTTAAAAGAAAAAAAAAAAAAAAAGAAAACGCCACAGACAGAAGCCAGTCTGTATATAACCTCATCTCAGAAGCAACTTCTTGTTTCTTCTGTCATTTTCTGTTTGCTAGAAGCAAGTCAATGAGCCCAGCTCCTGCTCAAGGGGAAGGGACACACAGGCCTTGAGTACTAGTAGGCAGGGATCATTGGGGACTGTCTTAGAGGCTGCCTACCACAGAAGGGGAAAGTAATTACACTTTATTGTGACACGGCTGTTAAGAGCACTTGTATAATCATAATAATGTAAATGCTGAATATACTGGATGATGTAAATAAAATGATCAACATCATACTGAGAGGAAAAGGTTATACAGTAGATAAATGTGTTTGGTGAGAGTGGAGGGACGAAAGAAAGCTAAATCCTCATAGTCAATCATGAGGAGTCAATATAAAATAGGTTTAAATAGCAGATCAAGGCAAAGCACTAAGTCTGTTATTTAAAGATAAGAAGGTGAAATGCCAAATAACCAGGTGAAAGAAGTGAAAGTGCTTCTGGGATGGTGAATGTGAGCATGAGGGGCTGCTCACGGAGAAGCCTTATGGGCCTCCTTGACTCTACACCACGTGTGCATATCACTTTGATTGAAAGAACGGGGAACTGGGGGGCGGGGGATGACAAAAAATGAGCACACAGAGCTTTCTCACAGAAAATTATGAAATTATTTGCATCCAGTGAAAACAATGTAATGCATCACTAGCCAAGATGGAAAATCTTGGGCCCAAGCAACACTAAACAGGACGCAGAGAATGAAAAGACACGCTGTCCAGCTCGGTGGAGTACCCGAGATCTGTCCAACCGCACACTGAAGCCAGCCTGCCCCACCCTTGAGGCCTGTGACAAGTGGCCAGAAATGCCAGCCCAGAACCTGCCTCTGTTGGCAACCACCCTCGTTCTCTGGTCTGGCTTAGCTGCTGCCTGAGGCTTGGTTTTATTTCTAGATATCAGCCCCACTTTCGGCCTTTGGAAGTATTTTTATGTTAATTTTACAGCTTTGGGTTATTGGAGAGACACTTAAGTCTGTTCCTGAGCCAAGCCCATTGCCACCGTAAGACCTTGCTCTTCTGCAGAAATGTACTCTGACCACATCATCTTCTGGCTGACCCCTCATTGGGGTTCATGTCTCATCCAAATGTTTCCTTCTCAGAGGCTTTCCCTGTGGCAGAGTGGACCCACGCTGGAGGTACACCCTGCCACAGCTCCCATCCGTGTTGTTCACCTCTCCCCATCTCGTTTTATTCATAGCATTTGTCAGAATGTGAAATGACCTTGTTCGCTTACTTTTGCCCCTTTGTTTTATTTCCCATGGCATCCCTGAAGCCCACAGCAAGTATCTGGTATCTATCAGTTACCCAATAGATAATTGTTGACTGGAAAAATGGATTGTGTAGTATATTCATTAGTATTTTCTGCAATAATGCGGCATAACAAATCATCCTAAAATTCAATGTCTTAAAACAATGAGCATTTCTTTCTTGCCCATGGATCTATGGGTTTGCTTGAGTTCAGCTGATCTTGGATGAGCTTGGCTGGGCTTGGCTCCAAGCTGGGGGTTGGGCACCATGTGCTTCCTCATTCTTCTTAGACTAGAGGCTACCTAGGTCATATTCTTCTCTCAGTACACCACTGGAAAACAATAAGGCGAGCAAAATGATGCCATGCTTCCTGAAGCTTTGGCTGCAACTGGCACACTATTACTTCTGGGCACATTGCACTGGTCACAGCCAGTCCCATGAGCAACCCAACAGCAATGAGGTTGGAAAGTAGACTCTGCCCAC